ACTCATACACTTGGATTCTACAGCGATGAAAGGAAACGGAATATGAGTGGGATAGAGTCATGTATTCGTCTGCTCAACTAACTAGAACCAACTAGACTAGCTTGCTGTGTCGCTTCCGCCATGTGCGCGGTGTCGCATTGTTTGCGTATCGTGGCTTACAGGCCAACACCAAATAAGTGAGTGCCCCCCTGAAATGTGTTGATGATGTGTGCACTCAGGCTGGCCCCCCAAGTGGTCAGCCCTTAAAAGCAGTCAGATCCAATAGACCTCATGAATCCTACCGAGAGACTTTGGATCCTGAATCATGCTATCACGAAGATGACGATCCCTGATTCCCTGAAATGTGTTGATGATGTGTGCACTCAGGCTGGCCCCCCAAGTGGTCAGCCCTTAAAAGCAGTCAGATCCAATAGACCTCATGAATCCTACCGAGAGACTTTGGATCCTGAATCATGCTATCACGAAGATGACGATCCCTGATTCCCTGAAACGCCATGACCACCGAAAAAAATAAAAGAAATAAACGCCGTGGTCGATCTGTGTAAAAGGTCATCCTGCATGCCAAACCGAGCCTTTCCACGAAAGAAAATTGCAGACTGGTTAGTGAAACTGTCCCCCATATCCAGTATACCAATTACGTTTCCACTGGCCACGCCGTCCACGCCTACGCTGTCCACAGCCGCCAAGTCCATGTTGACTTCCCTATTCCCGTACCCATGGGTTGGCTTGAAGCGACACACCATTCTCACCACCCATCATACGCCGATGGCTTTCGTCGGGTGCTGTTAGGTCTCCGATCCAAGGGCCCGGAAGGACTGCCGGCAGTGAGGTTCGGTTCGCGGGGTTCAGATATCCGTTCCCATGGAGCCCTTCAGGCACGCCAAGAGCGGTTGGCGCAGCTCCATTAGGGTGGCGTGCGAGTATCGGAACTCCCTGCGTCGAGGCGCTCCCGTTCTCTCCTTGACCTGTAAAGCCAGTCGCCTGATGATGGTGTTGATGCAGGTTGGAACCGGAAAACGACACCTGTGATATAGCACCGTGGTTCGTACGACTGGAGCCGTTGGATGCGAAAGCTCCACGAGGTGGGAGCAGAGCAGGAATTGCAGCATGCGCTCTCCTACTACTTTCGTATGCGCTGGATACTGGTCTGGGCCGGCTGCTGCTGAATGTTGGTGACCCTGGCCCTTGAATACCAGTACGAGGTCGAATCCTACGCCGACTTTCACCGCTGTCTGTCGGGGGAGAGCGGCGTTCACCATGGCTAGATCCAGATCCTTGCGAGCGGTTTGAGTCGTCCTGCGCAAGACTGGCGTCCCTGTCTCGCATGTAGCCAGCGTAACCAGCAAGACCTCCAAGATTCACCTGACCACGATTGCGGTAGTACCGGTCAAAGTCTGGGTGTGTGGATGTGATCCTGGCTTCGTGCGGCACCTTATCTCTGCAGTAAGGGCAGCTGTCCGACTCCTCAAACCATTTCTTGATGCAGTGATCACCAAACACATGTTTGCATTTGGGCAGTCGCAACGGAGCCTCCTTCACGCCCTCGGGTGTTTCCACACCGAATTCATTGTAGCAGATGACGCAGGCTATCAAATCGTGTTAGTATTTTTTCTCTCGCAATAGAGCCAGAGTCCTTATAACTCACTTCTTTCGCTTTCTGATAGCTCGGTAATCGGAACGCTCTGAAGAGATTGGATAGCCGATGAAGACGCCACATATTTCGTGGTCACAGAGCCACGCATGAACTGAGCGGCCCGAACGTGGTCTTCTTCCAGAGTCATAATATGACGCGCCATTTGCGTTGGATTTCCAGCCAATGCTATGACCTGTTCGAGCGCGCTTCGGTCGGAATCGACATCACTGTCGGAAAGAGGGCTTTGTCTTCTGGACGCACGCCGAATGGCAGGAACTCGACGTCGCTCTGGATGGTGATGCGAGCCCAAGCTGCTTGATGAGCTCGAGGCTCCAGAAGATGAGGCGCCTGTGATATTCCGGGCATCATTAGCAGATAGAGTCTCAGGTACAGGCAAACCGCACTCACCTGAATTAGGTTGATGAACGTCATGCGGCGGATTGGGGAAGGTTGCAGTGCTGCGGTGGAGAGCAGATGAAGGAGGAGCAGATCCAAACTGGATGCTGGCCCCAGAAGATGGTGCTTGATTTGTACCTCCAGTAGAGTCTGATGTCTCGATCTGGGGAGGATTCAGGGCTGCCACAAGGTGTTCTGAGCTAGTTTGTGCTACGGGAGGAGTTGATGTATTCACAGAGTGAGAAGCCGTGTTAAAGGCGTTGTGGCGAGGTGCAGCATTTTGCCCACCAAAGTTCCTCTCAGAGCTGGTGTAGAACGGCTGGCCTTGTGCCGGATGGCCTGCTGGTAGGGCTGTCGAAAGATTGAATCTCACCGGAGGGAGCTGCGTATGAGGGAACGACGGCTGCATGGTTGGAGGGCCTACCATCTCGCTTGGGGGTGCCCCTGAGTAGCCACCAGCCACATTGCCAAAGTTCGGAACAGGTACATGGTTGTAGTAAGGTGCCTCAGAGCCCGAGTTCGAAGGCCGGTGCTGGGGTGCCGGATGTCCCCGGTGGTTCATCATGTGGGGTTGGTGTTGCCAGTGATATGGCCCAGGTATCGGTGGCACTTGAGGCTGCCAATTTGGGTAATTCGCTGAAGAGTGAACAGGGTCATAGTGCATTGTTGAGCGGTGCTGTGGCATCCCAGGGAGTTGCTGTTGGCCTTCTCTGTTGAGGAAATAAGGGCATCGTGGTCGCTGTTGTGCGTACGGATTCTGTGCCTGACCCTGAGGCTGCTCCGGATGATGGTATGCGTAATCCATGGCTTCGTCCATGCTGTAAATCCCTTCCACCGTTGCGTGAGGAAAGTCCTCTAGCCTGTCGCTGTGAAGCCGGCTTCTGAATTGTGGCTAGTATTGCCTCTGTTGGAGAATCACAGTCTCTCTTTCACCAAATGACTTGGCTCTTTTCTTTATTCCCCTCCTTGTTGTCGCTTGATTTCCCTGTTTGTATGCAGCTGCACGGCGTCGCTCGCTTGCTTCTTCTAAGCCCTTGTTCAATCGATCAGAAGGTGCGTTCGTCGTCGTACAAGCTGCCGGTGGTCGAGGCAAGCGGATCGTTCAAGTGAGAGGGCTCCGAAATGAATGTGGTCTGTTGGCAAGTCGTCGCAGACTGACTGGAGGAGGGGTAGATGCGGCCGAGTGGGCGAGTCTGGAGGTTTCGGAATGCGTTCAATTAAGAGTCGTCGCTGGTTTTATCAATGGGCGATAAAGAGTTTCCAAGGTCGGCTCGAAATGTTTTCTCCCCAGTAACCCATCGAGGTTTACCTTTTTTTGGTTGTAGTTCGTGTCCTTTAGGCGTGATGCACAAGGTGCTCAAACTCCCAGCCTCAGTAGGGTGGTACCTGGGGTGGTCGAGGCGGAATGAAGTGTAAGAGTCGAGCGGGACGTGATGCGGCTGTGAGGTGAGGGGCGCTGCTGCTAAGACACTGGGATGGGCCGCTGGATCATGCCGCTTTCAGAAGTTAGTCGGATGTTCGCAAAAGAGCGGGATGCAGGCGTCTGTCTTGTTTGGCCGTAACAGGTAAGATGCAGTCTGGGTAAGGACGATGGAGTTTCATGCCGTGGGAAATTTTTTTTAAGAAAAAATGAGAGAGGAAAAACGACTGTTTGGCGTTCCTCGTAACGAACTGGTATTAAGAGCGGTCTGTGTCTCTTAATCTGCTTGTTCGCTCTTACTCTTGTCGCAGGGCGGTGATGGAGTAGGGATGAAAGGAGGAGCGTGTAAGAGGATTGTGCGTGGGAACCATTCAAGGCGGGGGATCGAGGCAGAGGGATGGGATACCTTATATGGATGTGGTGTGTATGAGTATCGTTGAGGATGACTACTCAGGAGGAGGCTAGGCAAGGTGAGATGGGCCAAGTAAGGCAGTGAAAGGAGCAGAGCGAGGGCGAAGGCAGCCTGTTCGTCTTCTTATTAGGTAGACGAAAAGAGGGGTGACGGTGACTCGATGGGTTTTGGTTTCTCTTGTGACAGGCTGCATACGTCGTGACGCCGATGTCGCCGAGCAAGGGATATTGGTCGATGGGGTTCGGGAGGGAGACGTTGGAAGGTAAGGTTGGGTTAGGTTCACGAGCGGTCGGTGGGCGGCGAAGAGTATCGGTGAGACGACGATGGCTCGGGAAGAGAGGAGGAAGTGGGAAGAAGAGACGAGAGACGGCCACCGGGGGTTGGAAAAGGGAAGGGAAGGCGCGGCAAGGAAAGAGGGGTGGGTAGGCAGTCTTGGGTTTTGTATCTCGTCGCAGGCAAGAAGGAAGGGAACCTTGGGGACACCAGACACCGGACACCAGACGCCAGACCGACAGACACCACCACTTATTGAGGCAAGGTGTATTAGTAGGGAGGCAAGAAAGGTCGGCTCGACAGGGCCATGGACGAGCGACGGAGAGACGAAGGAGGAGACACTCCAGCCAGGCAAGGTCTAAGAGACAATGGGAATGGGTGGAAGGGAACCGGAAAGGAAGACGAGGCAAGGTCCAGACAAGGCACCGGAAGCCAAAGCAAAAGCCCACCTTGGACCTCACCACCCCCAGAGGTATAAGTCAGGTATCTCGCTCACACTCACCTCACACTCGACCCTCACGAAGGACAGGCTTGGAACAAGACCAGTGATGATGGAGCCCTTCGCAGAGAGTCCCACGCAATGACACCGGGACGGGGGGTGGACTAGCAAGAGCATACATACGTACATGTGCAGAAAGAGTGAGGGAAACCATGCAACAAGACGGGACCGAATTGGTAGACTGCACAATCAATACGGCTGGGCCGGGCTGGGGCTGGTTCGAACCGACCGGCGTTTACTTTACGGTACTGCTAGCCAGCTAGATATTGCTACCGCTACTCCTCCGATGATCCAAAGGGCAGTCCATGACCGGGGCCATGTTCCATGTCCAGAAAGTCATGTCGTTGCAGGGCAGAAAGGGCGGTAATTATGGGCTAGGTTGGATTGCTTTGCTCCAACAGGAATGGATTGGACCAGAGCGAACCAAAGACGACGAAGCAAAGTGCCGCAACGCAAAGCACAGCAGCAGAGCAGAGGCACACACACACACACACACACAACACGCAGCACACTGCACACAGAGCACTACTTTGTATCCGTACACACAGCACAACATTGGCAGGGCAGGCAAAAGCTGGGCGTGGCATGGCATGGCGCTGCACTCCCGCCAGGGAAGACGGCAGACAATAACCCAATGGGGGGTTCGGGTCAGGGAGCAAGGGCAGAAAAAAAGACCGGGACTCAGAAGACGATTTGCCGTGAGAGGAAGATACACGCTGGGGGTACGGTGCGGAAGTAAGTGTGAGAGTTAGAGACCACTGGGTGAGCGCCGAGCAAGAGACTTGCAGGGCCATGCGCATCCGCCGACCCAGTCCAGTTCCCAGCTGGGAGCCATTTTGTTTCCATTCAACGAGGGGCATTTGGGTTTGCATTTTGCCCTCATAATAATGCTATATCCGACTCGTCCATCGTTTGGCCCTCTCACCTCACCTCGGGACCCCACGAAGCCTTCCCTCCGGTGACCGAGTTGAGTGTACGGCCGGGTCCACCAAAAACAATGATAAGCAGTAAGAGTAAGCCAAACCGGGGCTGGAAAATACTGAATATTGGACGTGGCTGTCTGTCGGGAACAGCGACAGGATCAGTCTGGAAGGAAGAAATGACGGAAATTCGACCGCGTGGCCTAGTCCAGGCCGGGCGGGTGCTGATTGCTGGCGCTGCTCTGTTGGCAAAGATGTTTATTATCCATTGCTGCTTCGGGTGCCGGTCTACTACTACGGCGGAAATGTGCTGGATGACTGGGTACGGCTACCTTGTGCGATGCCCTCATTTTGTTCGCAGTGGTCTTTCCCACGTCAATGTTCCACATGTAAGCAGGCCCGGCCCTGGGGTATGCGTGGCTCCGTCTCTTTGGAGGGGCAAGCTATGCGACATGGACTGCGCTGGGCGAGGGTTAAATGAAAAGTCCCTTGTCGGGTGCTCATCAGGCATTGGAAGCGGAAGCTGGAAGCGGATGAAGAGGCAGAAAGAGAAAGGCCAAGACAAGTTCGGATCTGAGACTGAGAGTCAGTGAGCCACGAATACACCGTACTTGCGTGGGTATTCGTACCCTTTACTTCCCTTGCCCTTCCCTTGAGACTGAGGGTAACCTTTTGCAGCCTGCCTGGCACGCCTGGCTAGCGCCCCCGTCCGAGGTGAGCCACCAAAAGTGAGCGAGACGTGAGCAACCTTACCAGACATGGGTAGCGAGCGGGTGTGTTTGGGTCGTTGTTGGCTGTTCGGATCCCACGGGGGCGGGCGGGTGTCAGTCGGCGGCGGCAAGGCACCTTTCCTTTCCTAAACACTTTCAGAGGCGGCGAGGGAAGAGACGAATTGTGATACGCCAAAGACTGGGTCGACACCAGGTCACAAGCACCTCAATGGCGGACGAGCGGTGGTTGATGGTGGCGGCGGTGGACAGGGAGAGGCTTGAGGATGTGCTGCAAGTTGCAGCTAGGTCTCGTCATTGCCAACAGGTGTCGCCTTTCTCTTGAACCATATATTGACCATTGCAGAAACCATGTAAGTTGGTATCCGCAGTTGACCATTTGTGGGCGGATCGATGCACAAGGGCGGTAGACTGAAAGTTTCCTTGCTCTCAAAGAACCATACATGATGGAGCCGGGGCCTCGAGAGCGTTGCGAAGAATGAAAGAGTCGGCAAAGAAAGAGCATCTTTTCCGTTCGTGACCACATCCATGATCAAACTGGGCTGGAGGCCTGAACAGATGGATGAAAATGAGGGGAGTCGCTGCTGCTGGAGGCGTGTAAAGTGAGATGTATCAGGAAAAGCGGGCGCTGACGGGAATGCAAGCGCACCGCATCGGCACATCAGCATATTGGCATCATAATCAGCATCAGCAGCCTCAGCAGTTTACTACAATTCGGAAGCGACGATATGCTGGCCTGCCGGAAACGTCTGAGCGTGGACAAATTCTCTTTCCGAGGTTCGTTACGCTGGAGTCTTCGCAATCCTGCCCATTGATCAGACTGACAGACGGAGCTGAGAACCCACTCACTTACCACTCCAGCTGTCCCCGCCCCCCCCCCCCCCCCCCCGAGGGAAGTCCCAATAACTCCGCCGTGATTCCACCGGGCATCATCATGTCGTGACCGGGTCGTGAAAGGACGAAACCTTTCGGCCGTGGTGCGAAAGCGGTATGTATGTAAACGTCAACGACCGGGGGCCATGGGGTGTGTCAGTAGGTCGCAACGGCAGTCCTGGGCCCTGGCTTCAGTTGGTCAGCTCCATCTAAGTGTGAGTGAGGTGCTCACATGAACCACCTGAGCTCGGCCGGTCCAAGCAGGGCAATCAATAATACCACACACTCGCAATGTTCTTCGAAAGGTATCAAGTATCAACAAATACGGCCCAGCGCCCTTGCCACGGATGAATGACCTGTGAGGCTGTGTCTAGAAACGTTTCTCGTCACTCTGACCTGCGAGCTCCTCACAGCACACCTGGTAGGCTGGCGCTGGATCTCATGGCTGGCCCTGGTCATCACCTCAGTGGGCACAGCATGGCTTACTGGGCTTGCAGGATACTGGCATGATGATAGTGACGAGGGGTTGGCGACCCTGTAGGCTGTAAGGTAATCACTCACCAATTCACTCACCACTGCTCTGCATGCTCTCTGTCCGTGGCACTCCAGACGCAAGCCAATTCCCACGCCGAAGAAAATACACTATTCAATAGCTCGCTGCCACCACAAAACCACAAATCATGGTCGGATTCTCACAGGAAGCTACACTGAAAGTAGTATGGCTTCGGGTGTGAGAGATTGTCTCTGGGTCCGTGTGATTCGACTCGGCCTGAGAGCAACCAGGGCCGGGCGATAGAGTGAGTGAGGGTAAGAACGAAAGTGAGAGTGAGAGTGAGACTAACACACAACTAAGGCAGGCTTGTCAGGTGTTACGAAACTCAACTTGATCGACCAGTCGCACGCGCCATATGCGAGCCCTTCGCAGCACCAGCATGTTTTCGGCTTGTTATACATGAAGACGGCCTTAACACCCGCCATGTACCCTGCCTGTCGTCCTCCACTATCCGTCCCTCCTGTGCTGTGGCTTTTGGTTGCTAAGACGAGTGAGGTATCCGTATGGATAGGTGGTTGTCTCGTACTTTCTGCCCTTGGAAAACCTGAACTCGCGGCCTTCCCTTACCAGAAGGTGTCTTTTGCAGCTTGCCTCGCAGCGATGTACGGATACCTTGCGCAGTAGTAATTGGGGCACTTTATACTCTGTGAGTCCTTCCTGGTGGATAAGTTAGTTGGTTATTCATCCGCTCACCTTCCCTCATCTGGCGAATAGAAGGAGAGACCCTGAACTTGCATCCAGACTGGGGTCCTGCCATCCAAGCTTGCTTCGCCGGCAAGTCTTCTTTTTTCTTGCAACCGCCCTTCGGCCGTTAACTCACCCGTCTTGAAAACGAAACATCTCGTCGCCAGCCTCTTTGCAATATCTATCCTCATATGCCGTCTTTTGCAATTTCAAGTCTCACAAAAAGGACTAATAGTGAAGCCTATTCTCAGGCTGTCCGGTTCAAAGTTCAAACTGCCGCATCCGACGGCTTCTCTTGCGTTTGCCCTCTTCTCCCCGGTATTTGCGAGACACGGTGTCTCCACAACTTGACCTCAGCCGGACAGCCCTCGATCATGAAATGCACCTAAAAGAACCCAGCAAGCCCGTGATGCTGCGGACTCCCTGCTCGCCTCTCACCGGTTTACTGGCCTGCTTGCCAGATCAAAACCAAAGGTCCGAAAGTGACGAAGCTGCTGTCGGTCCACACCGTGTGCTGTCTTACTCGGCCGTGGTTTTGTTCTGCCCAGATGTATCCCGTATGACGGCGAACTTCCCAACTCCCCAGCGGGTGTGAGTACACTGATTGTTGCGGAATTGCGATCGCCTTTTGAGGAAGCACGAGGGGCCCGACAATCCGCCGAGCGTGCCGACAAGATGCCATCAAAAAGAATGCTTTAAGATGCTCGATACATACACCTACTCATTGCCAGCAACATTTACGGAAGGTTTTCTCAAGTCGATATCCTTCGGCAGTTCCTCGCTCGTTTTACCATTGATCGACGTAACCGAGCCTGGTCTCTCTCTCGGCATCATGGCGAATCCTATCATCAAGTGGTTCGCGCTACCTTACCTTACGGATGGACTGACCGCCGACTTGCCGGCCGGCGTGCACCACCTATCCGTCAGGTAGACACACGATAACGATAAGGAGGGGCAGCAGGAGGAGGGGTAGGGGAGGGTGTTGTTACGACAGGGAGGGGCCAGCTGTTGGGACCAGCCACCAAGGAACCGTCACTTTTTTTCTCATTCATTACACCTTTACAATGTCGTACGCCATTCGTATTTCTCGGTTTTCCCCCTTCTCGTCCCTCTTTCCCATTCTTCACGAATCCCACTTCATGGTCGTGTGCTGACCCTGTCACCCGGGCAGTGGTCGACAAGTACAGATACATTACGGGAGAGGAGGGGCCGTGGGGGCCTGCCATGATCAACTTGGACCGTTTGCGCCGGGCCGTTCACACCACACTCTTCCATTGTTGGAAATCCAACCACTTCGCTCCCACCACCTTCAAGACGTGCCCCGCCTTGGGCCATGCTGAGGTATGCTCCCTCATCTGCATCAGCAGCGCAATCAGCTTTTGTCCCAGGCGGAGAATACCATTATCGGCCCCCATCTGGTTGGACCCCTGACAGTGACTCACTTCGATTCTGAGTCTTGAGACCTCCCAAGTCCTCGCGTCCTGTCACTGTTCCCAACTGGCCAGGGACCATCCGTTTGACCCAGGTGGTTCTCAGATTCAAAAATAATCCAAAACCTCACTTTTTCCGAGTCTGCGCCCTCACAATTTCGCACACCCCCTACCAACAAGCTACGTCATAACAGGTTCTAGCTCCCCCTCCGAAAGGAACAGACACGAGGGAAATGCAAGGACCCCGCGGCTTTGTCCTAACAAGACCCCAGTCACGACCCTGCTGCAAGACCACCTAGCTTCGAGGAGATGATACTTATCCATTGGCTGGAGCCCTTTTTGGTCGCTAACCTCGTCTCTCATTCGTTTTCGAAGCAGCGGGATCCCCGCGAAGATCTTCTGAGCCCTGGTTCGCGCTAAGATAAAGTGCTCCGCCGTCTGCGCTCGACACTACTGTTATCGACTACTTTGGTGAGTCTTGTCTCTGTCCCTCCCTTCTCTTGTCCCACCTCCTTGTCCCTCGTCCCCCGTCGCCTGACCAAGTGAGATTTTACTTAATTTCACGGACTTTTCCCGCCAAGTCAGTTTGTTTTGCTTCAGATGTTCGTCTCATCATTCAGCGCTCTAGGCTCGCCACAAGGGCGGACTGCCTCAATTCTTGGGACCTCGAGTCAGCACCATGGCAAGCGCCCAGGCGTGCCCATCCATGTCTAATCTCTCGCCTTGCTATCGCCCATGGCGGTGGAGGTCGCATCATCAGCAAACTTTTCTCACTCGGCAGCCATTTACCGCATTTGAGGTTGAGCCAAGCCTCAAACGTGGGATCCAGCTTGACTGGTCTTTTCAGAGTTATGATCATCGCTTCTCATTCAGCAGTCTGATGGCCGAAACTCTTACGGAATACTGGGCTTCTTCTTTCAACCACACCAACCAATCCCGGAAACATAGCATGCCGGTCCTTTTGTCCCAGTCGCTACTCAGGCCTTGTCTAGACCGACGCTCATGTGGTCACCTGCAGGACCAATGACACCCGGATTTGCAGACACTACACGAGACAAGGTTGAGTTACACGAAGTGAGCTACATTAATGTTGCGGTTGACATATTGTTTTTTTTTCAGCTTCTTTTCATTTCTTGTAAGTTTCCACATCAATATCCGGACTCGTGACGGGTTTGGCAGGTAAGCCGGAATCCCCCGTTTGCGAACATCCATATACCATGACTCCTATAGCGAGGTTATCGATGGCTCGCATGGAGCACCTTACTCGCCTATAAGGAGAGAAAAACGAAAACACAAAAAACAACATCTCTCTGGTGGGCAGCTCTCTATCCACAACGTTTGACTGTACCGTCCTCGATTGCCGCGCATGATTAAACAAACAATCCCCGAGTCGCCGATTGTACGTCCGAGGCACTGAGCCGGTCCGATGATCCACAATTCAGGCATATCTGCTCCGAAGGGCCTGCTCCGATGGCTGCTGACTCGGGGCCCCTCGCTTGGCTGAGGCGGGGGTGAGCCAGGTCTTTCGCTGGGCGATGATGACGTCTGGTTCACGTATTTTTCGGGCTTGTCGGGCCTTGATCATCCGCCAATGCTACGTCTCCCAACGGTATCTCACCGCATCTTGTCATCACGCAATTTGCTAAGAATGATGTTTTAGGTTGTTGTTGCTTGCGCTTCAATCTCCGTCTCCGTTCTGTAGACTCTTGTTCTCTATTCACTTAGCATAGTGGTAGAACCGACCACATGAGCTAGTTGAGAGTGAAGGAGTGAAATAACGTGTTCAGGAAGCCTGGTGGCTGTTTTTCTCTTCTTATTTCTCAACTTACATTATTGAGATAAGGAGCGGGGCTATTCAGTCACTCTTGAGAGCGAGGCTAATCGGCATCTTGATTCCCACAACCGTTGCACGTGAAATCGGCTGGAGCGTTCTTCTCGCCGTTTTCGAAATTAACAGAATCGATTGACGTGTTGTATACATGCCACTACGCACCTAGGTAGTCTACGACTCCCGGCTGCTGTGATGTAGGCCTTGAGTGCTGGCCTTCTCTCTTGATTAAGTCACAGAAGGCAGATACGAATGGCAGTAACTATCCAATATCACATAGGGATGTGATTCAGCCTGACGTGAGGCTATGGAACTGGATCGACCTTCATTACCCTCGTCGTGTGGATGGTACATTTGTAGAAATTTGTCCACTCTTAAATCTTACGGAGTCAGCGGTCCCTCATTCTCCTGGTCCGTTCATGAGTGCGTCCGCAAGATCTGGTCTCATGTAGACTCGTGCCTAGACCTCAACTGATTCATTACCTATCGGACGGACGAGCTCTTTTCTCAACTCCCGCTTTGAGAATAGTACAACTTGGTAGAACTGTTCTGTTATATGGTCCAATCAAACCTCAATGAATACGTGACAGTCATGAAGAAACAGACACTGCACCTCGAAGTACCATACCTCGAGGGAGACATCAAGACTCGTCTCTGAGCTCTTACTTGTCCTGTCTTTCCAACTACAAGCTTCATTCTTGACAACATTGCTCCATAATTCGTGGAAGGGACACCATCTCAAGGATATAGAACGTATATTCCCCCTTAAAACACTAAACTCGTCCAGGGTCTTGAGAATCAGCTGAACTTGTTCAGTTGACAACGGGCAGCTGACCAATATTAGGGAGCCTTTGATCACAGTCTCTCGACTGAAGGCGAAGGGCGATTCTTACCATCTCAAAAGTGAGTTTACGCGGGTGCTGTTATCATGGCATGGTAGCGGTCTTGAGAACACGACATATGAGTCAACCCAATAAGGACGGTTTCCATCCTCTTGCCCGTACTCATGGGGTTTTGCATTGGGGAATGGGGCCGGGTGTACTCGTCAGAATCTAGCCGTGATAGAATTTATCGGCTCTCCTGCGGAGCAATGTACTCCCGGTATTCTCCAGAATGGGACCATGCCATCGATAGATGCAGAAAATTGTATGTTTGATGAGATGATGGAGTTATCGGTACCAGCCTTATTTCACTCCTAGGTTGAACTTTCTGCACTGATGTATGCAAATAAGCCTATGGGATCCCGAATATTCCCAGTTTAGAGATGAGGGAAAACGCATGGACTTTTATTATTCAGGTTGATAGGGAACCGTCAGTGCCTCGACCCAAATCGAACACATGGCAGATAACATCATAAAAGTCGATTCGTCCGGCACCAGGTCGAATAGAATGACGAACAAGGCTTCTGATGTCCCTGGGAGGTTTCGGGTGGCGTCAGGTATCCGCTACCATCATCTGCCGTTATCAAACCTGAAAGGTCTGTACGATTACTGATCATCATACTGCTTCAAGCTCACAAGGTGAACGGAAGCATCAGCTCTTCAGCGCACTTTCTCCAAAGGAACTTCTCCCACCCTTCTGCTTTGGAATTTACAGATCTTATGTACTGCCTAGTCGTATACATAGTGAGATCATCTGTTTATGAATGAATCTGATGATGTTGGGGGGCAAAGTCTGCTGCTTTTGATCGCAAGGTATGCTCGGTGGCATATCTCTGGCGCAATCCCACAAGAGCCGCTTGAGTTTTGTCCGGGTAAGTTCATGTCACCTTATATCGCTTTGTACACTCAGTGGCTGATGCCTGGAGCCTCGCCTTCCCCCCTCGTGCCTAGCTCACTAAGTGGATGATGGATTCCCATGTCAACATCTAGGGGCGATTACACTGCTTGAGGGCACTTTTTCAAAGCATATTTGACGGTCTGTAGACTTCCTAGGTCTTGAAGTAGAGTATCTTCACGCCATCACAAGTCAAAGGCGTACAAGTTCGATCACAGGGCGAGCTCAAGAAGTCAGCAGAAAGAGTCCTGAATATTTGGTAGGTTCTGTCGGGCATTCATAGACTGTTCAGATACCTTTGCACCCAGATGTACTCAACGCAATTGGGAGTGTTACTTTAAAACTCATCTTCATGTCAACACGAAGCACCTCAAACGCAAGGAGGCATGATACAGCCGTTGGCGTCTAACCGAACAGTCCCTAGAGCATCATCATGAAGACTGACAAATATTTCATGATCAGAGAGGGGGTGTGGGGGACCGACACATCAGAGTTGGCCATGGTCAGCCTCATCATACTCAATCAGTGGCGAGAAACGTTAACCAGGCGGGCACATTAACCCGATTACTGACGGACGTGTCACGGACTCGGTCATTTCCGGGAATTATTATCATTAAAAGTCCTAGCCCGATACCATGTATCTACGGAGATTGAATCAAGTCTCTAGATATTCCCTTCTCGTCGAAGTCAGGCACGATGCGAGTGAGGCAATTTCAGACCTAGTCCCTTCAATCGAGAGTAGATACCAAAGAGGGAACGAGGAGAGACGACTTTGATGCAAGAACCACTGTAGCCGGAACGAGGGTTGTAATGAAATATAGAGTCACTCCTACCCTAAGATACTCAAACTGCCAGACGACAGATTGACAGGCATCAAGCTCATGTCCGCGGAGATCTGGGTGCAGGATTGATGGATCAAAATGACGTTACGAATAGTCTCAACACCAGAAGAAGGTGTTTGTAGAGTACATGGGGTCAGATATCTTGTCCACTGTGAGCCGTGGTCTTCAGTCACAGCATCCACGTCACGGAAAATTGACACCTGAGCATGACTTGGTTGGGTATCGTAGCTATTATTGACTGTACTAAAGTGTGGCTTTACAAATGAGCCGAGGGTAATCAAACTGTGTTGTAAAACTATCCCGTCATAGGGAATCACCCAGCACCTCCAGCTCTGACAACTCTGCTTTCTACTGTTGGAGAAACCTAAGTATGCCGCTCATTTCTTTGGCAGTCGATACTTCCCTCCTACCAGCTCCAATTCATCCATCGCCATCTTTTCTGCAAGGAACTCCTGCAGCTCCTCATTGCTCCATGGGAACCCGTCCGCTATCAACATCTTCATCATCATGGCGATCTGGACCAGCGGCATGGCTGGACTCGAGTTGGTCAGCATACCAACAATGAATTGCCAGTACACCTGCCGACGTTCCTTCTCCTTGGCATCCAACGCGCCCGGCTTCTTGGGTGAAAGGTCGCCTGAGTCGGGCGCAGGAGCATCATCAGGGCCGGGTCCAGGTGGATTCCCTCCATCGTCGGCATCGTCATCTAGCTTCTCAATGACGATGAAGGTGCCCGGCTCAATCTCGCGGATGACACGCTGACCGACCCAGAAAGAAAGGGCGGAGCGAATCAGATCATCGTCCATTTGCAGCACCTCTTCAAGCTCGTCAACTGTGCGACGTACGGGAAGCGGTCCGCTGTAAGACTCGTCTGTTTGGAATGCATATATGACAACGGCTTCATACGTCTTGCACTCCTTCTCAACTGTCCTGTCTTCGAGTTCAAGGCTTACAGTAGCGTTTCCGAGATTATTCAGCCATGTAAGCTTGCGGTTAGATTTGAGACGCTCGAACTCGCCTTCGTACTGTCGTTGACCCTCGACGACAGGCCCGGGCAAGATGAAATGCTCCCTGTCCATAGTTGGCCAGAAGAGCCGAGAAAGAATCTTGGTATGATATGAGGGAGTATTGTGGGCCTTACGAACGGAACCGATAACGCCTGTCCTGACCGTCTTGGAGATGATGGCGTCGACCTTCTTCGAGTCTTGAATGTCTTTTATCATGACGTCGCAGTTTTGCAAGGCATTATCCCCAAACCGCTTCTTCAGTAGATTAAGCACACGGACTTCTTGACTGAACTCCACCTGCGTGGACAGCAACCTCTCTGCGATGATATTCTGGAACTCCTTGATAAATATATCCTGAGAACCCAGAGCGCTGATTAAGGTCCCGATGACATCCTCTGACTTGGGACGCTTGTAGTTGACTCCGGCGTCAACGGGATCCGGGATCCATTCCATGTCGTCCCAGTCCAGTTCCTCATCCTCCACGGCAGGTCTTCTCTGCTGTGATGGATCGTTGAGTAGAATGGCGAGCTCGATAAGCTTAGTACTGCCTGCCTCTGTACTTGAGTTATCCGGGTTTGATAGTAGTCCAGTCACGACGATGGGGATCGCATCGTCTCTCTGGCATAGGTAAAGCTGCAGCGAATGGACCACACGGTCCAGTAGTACTTTGGAATGGTCTAGAGCATGGAACGTCCTGATCATGGAAATGTATACCCGTAGTATATCCAGTGTTGACCGTCCCGGGTGCAACAGCCGTTTCTGTAACGCTGCCGAAAACGTGTCCGTCAGTTGTAGCCGTCTCTGCGGCGTTGTGATTGCCATTCGGAGGTCATCGAGAGCGCCTCTGCTGTGGGGCCATTGGAGAACGATGTCGAAGAGTTCATGAATACGCATGACTGCTAATCGCCCAACGGCAATCTCCTTCCACTTTTCGACATCGGCCCAAGCAATGTCCCCGCTTCCAAGGCGAGCAAACACCTCGACTGCTAGCCGCGAGTAATGGTTCTCGACCCAGTTGCAAAGTGCAGCAATGCAGCGTGAAGGGTGGCCAAGTTTCGTAGCGCGAGGCACAGACGAGGCGCGCGGAGCATCCTTCCCGCCATCAGATTTCGACTGCGTCCAGGCGCCCGCGAATGACGTTCTAATGTGCTCCACCATCATGGCATCCATGAGTTCAGCGAATAGGACCTGGAACCTCTCGCCTGCCAGTCCTACTTTGTGCAGTGCCTCAATCAATTGCAGAAGCTCTTGCCGCGCTGCCGCTGCCGCTGCTGCCTGACGATCTGCTTCGAGGTCGGTTGTCCGAGGGAAGCTTGAGGGAGTGCTGGTCTGCTGCATGCCCAGAACCAACCTCATCAGGCGACTCAGGACAGCTCGGAGAGACTCCATAAGCGCCTGCGACATGGAGTTGCCGATGACTGCGTGTAGATCACGGCGGAACTTGTCGACGGCGATGTCTGCATGTTTGTTCTCAAGACCCCGCACGATAAGAGACAGTCCATAAAGATACTGGCGGTGAGCTGCTTCTAAAGTATGGATGCTTCCGAGGAGTACCTGGGATTGGTCACCGTACGTGTTGCAAGCGGAAAGTAGGGGGAGGACATGTTGGGCGAAGTGGTGGCGAACCTGCTGAGTATGCCAGGAAAGGATGTCCTCGGTACTAGCGGCTTTCTCAGCGTGCTTCGCTGGATGGAGAACCAGCTTTAGACTGTCATAAAAGTCTGCATCGTAATCCTGGGATTCCGGAGCCAAAGTGCCAAAGGAGTCCTCAGCGGCCACTGACGGCGGAAGCTGAATACGAGTCGTCACAATGTGCCATGCTTGGTCCCACCGGACTTGGTCGCTGGCCGGCATGGAAGCAGAGGTTTTTGAAGGCCGAGATGAAGACGAGACGTGGAATTCTGAAGGTTTGCCATGGCTGGGGAAACGCGAGCGGGAGGATGATTGATGGTGTAGTGGCGGTGATAGTGCGCCGCCGAGCGGCTCTCCCTGCGGCTTGAACCTCTGAGAAGGTATCGAATGAGGAGTAGGTTGCGAGATTTCGGAGTCAAAGACTGATCTGAACACACTCTGTCTCTTGCCGCTCCACCTGGACGGCGCGGCACTCACTATCATAGCCATGACTGCTTGTGGAATGCATCCAGATGAGCTCAAGCGGAAGGATTCAAGGCCTGCCTCATTGCAGAGTCTCGGCAAGGATAGTGCGGTGACTGAACAAGGAAGTCGCAGTTATGTCGGTCGACGTTGTCTATCGTGAAGGATTGCCGTGCTGTCGCCGGTTGTTGTTGATTCCTAAGTAGGTGTATGTAGGTGTTTACTTTGTTTGGCGTTGATGGGTTGGTTAAGCGCTGCGCTTAGAGCGTGCTTGACGCCTCAAAATTGGGAGGGATAACGTGGGCCTATGACAGTGTCGCGCTTAATGCTCCCGCAGCTGGCGACAGGCGCTAGCGCGGCGTTCATCGTTCAATTGGTGAACCCGAGGGAAAGAACGCCCAGAGCGGCAGCCACGAAGCGAGACAGGCGCACACGGCGCAAATGCTGGTGGTGCGTGCGTCCTGATGGCTGGCAGTGTACAGAAGCGAAAAACACCGTACTGAGCACAGTATACTGGAGTGGCCTCTGCTCCTGCAGCATTGTCTTATGTTCACGCCCCTCTGAGCCAATATCCACTTCTACATTCACACCTCCTCCCTTTGCTCTACCTTACCTTACCATAAGGTACACCGTACAATACGACGCTCTCTCTCTCTTTCGCTTGTATCCTACACACCTTCAATATCTCCCCTGCTACCTTATCTAAGCAACCGCTGTATTCCACCATATTCGCGGACGACTCCCGATGTCAATCCGCAACCATGACCAAGCTACGAAGACTCAAAACCGCCGGAAGAAAGCACCGTGCCTAGCTAGGCGCGTTAATTGAGGATCATAGACAAGTCATTTCAGTATCATTGCCACCAACCCACAAATACTCGCTTAAAGCGCCCGCAGCCGCTCTTCCCTGTCGAGCATGGTCGAGGGCATGTCTTCAAGTGGTGTTTCCCTCACGACAAGTGTGGGGTAACGAGACGAAGGATCGAGACAAGCTGCGTCAAACTTGTCCTCAACAGGACCTGCATGCTTCAACATAGAGAAAGACAGGAGACATGACAGGGTATCACCGTTGGGCCAGAGCAAGGGGTCACGGGAGGCTTGAACATGAACGCAAACCCCCAAAGAGATACAACAAGAGAGCAATGAGATCTCAATTTCCGGTACGAACTTGTTTTCGCACCCCTCAAAGCTTCAACCGTACCGCAAAGAGCCTGTAACGCATTCTTCCCACAAGTCATTGGCGACTAACCGTGTTTCGTATCCAGACGTGGAGTATTGCTGGCCAGTGCGCAATATCATGAGCAATCTCCAAATCGTCCGAGGATTCGAGTCTAGCCTTGATTGCCAGTGGGCATGCTCCTCAATCAGTACAAAGAGGCAGGGCCATCCCAAGCAACGGGCGCCGTGACTGTCCAAGGCCGGGGCGATTTGCAATCGACGTCCGGCAGCTGTCGCGTCATCCGGGTATTTCGATACGCAGGCATTTCAATATCGCTCGCTGTCGGCTCGTCTCTCCGTCCTGGAAGATCTGTTCGGGAGTACGCGAACAGAATCGAGGCCAATACAACTTGGCCAAAAAGTGGTTCAAACACCGAACCGTTGCGGGCTTAACCCAATCGGCCACTTTGATGACCGATCACAGCTTCATGCGTCGTCAAGCCTCTTCCTTTGAAGCGGGGAAATGCGACCCCCATGAGTTCCACGGAGTTATCGAAGGAGAAGAGGCATTCGGCCCCGAGACAAACAGACGGCTGCTGTCTTCCGGCTCAGTTAATTTCCACCGTCACTAACCCCGAGCGAGGTTGAAATGATGGACAAGCATATCACGGGGTGACCTGGTCATTCGATATACGCTTGTCTATACGAAGAGGCTGTCACGACTTCGACATGAACCCTACGGATGAAGCCTGTCAGCTTTACCTACATGAAAAGGATGAGACTTATCATGCTTCTGTTCAAGCTTGCCGTATTTGTCGTCAATGCTTCAACGCTACTTATCGGCTACCTCGTGGTTCTGAAGATGACCCAGTCTGCAATCCTTTCGATCTGAACGCCTGCTCATCAGGGGCCACAGCTCCATGGCTTCCCCTTAACGTCTGCCTGCAAATCAAAGCAGCCGGGTAGACGAGATAGTGCATGCTTGAAAGCGGCACAGTCCTTTCCAGAGCTTCCATGTGGCTGTTCCACTGTCGCCCTATGAGCCGGCCCCTGCTTTTCAACCATCATTAGCCGTTGACCACTGTTGCTTCATGATCCTTTGCAAGTGACAGTAGCACCGTTTTCGTGCCACCTGTTCGCCCCGCCGCCAATGTACATCAGCGTCCTGCCGGTGACTTCGCCACTTCGCGCCCAACAGGGCTGGCTTCTGAGCGACTAGCCTTCGACGAGATGGAGGGTGAATCGATATGGATGCAGACGGACTGGGCTGTGGGATGCTCCCGACCGGCACGGCAGTGGATCAAGCCACCAACCTTGTCCAAATTCGCCCGCCCAGCCCATCAGTGGACCTCAATAATACTGCTGCCTGGAAGTCATCACAGGTCGTCAGCCTACCCGTAGCGCGCAAGCGACAAGAAACACGACGAGCGGCTACCGAGTGTCTCAACATATTCTATGCAGTGCTGTTTGACTGCTAGAGCGGCGTCTTCCTGTAGTCCAAAGCGATAGCTCTTCTGGAATCGTTACCACAACCTCCCACAATCTCGGAGTACGTGATAAGCATATGCTCATGTCCCCGGATGTGAGTTCAGAGCCTGCAATCAGCAATTTAATAGCCCCAGCTTGTTCTACCAGCAACGTTACGACTTCGGACGATTGTTGAGGACTTCGGCCACTGGAACGGATGATAAATAAAGGGCTCACACGTTTGGTTACCCGGAGCTTTCGGGGCTAGGGATAGAGACAGCCACAGGTACTCGAGCTCTGACAAACGCCAGTTCGACTTTGGGACGAAGACTTTCAATAACTAGAGAGGGGTCATTGGAATACCAGGAAATCCCGAAAAACCAGAAAAGGAAGCAGCTGCACTTAGCTAGACTATGCTTTGGCGTCTCAGGTCAAACTTGCTGCGCCTACTTCGCTACTGCTATCATCGAATAGCAGACGCTTGACGAGTCTTGAAGGATTGCACTTGCAGGTCGCGTGGTGGCCAATAAGGCCCAAGACGCAACGAGTGTCGTCGAGTATTCCGTCCAATGGCGCACGAGGAGAGTAGATGGCCACAGCATGTCAGGACCTGTGACAGCTTGTTGTCAACTTGTCAACTTATCAACTTGGCTTGCCTTCAGAGTGGGCCATCACCAATGCAACCTCACTTTATGGCGATTCCCCAAACCGGTAGGATATGGGCCCGATACTTTTCCGGGTCGCTGGAGTCAAAGCTCCACGTGAATGTTTGCCCGTTGCACATTCTGCTTATATAATATAACAAAGGCTAGGTTTTGGCCCCCAACCTTGCGGCAAACAGTCTGGGAGCCCCATGCATTGGTTGGTCGAAGAGTTGTCGCCAGTTCACAGCTGCATCGACTGTAATTGAAGCTGCCTACAGTTCGCGTCATTGCGTGTGGCCGGTGGCAAGTTGGATCTCTCTGCAATGGCTGAAACACCAGCGAGTATGAATGTCTCTTCCTGGGGACACAGAGCTTGCGTATATCCATGACGCCAAACCGTCCGTCGCAAGCCACCCTAGACAGACAGCGTTTTCAACTCGTATTGTCAAAGGATAGGACAGTCGAGTCTTACAGCAGTCGTCTGTGCTATCTTGCTCACAGCTGATAGCTCCTTGGCCTGTCGCGAGTCTAATTTTCGATTTTGCCGAACGGCGGCCCCTTTTCTCCTTTTCCCGATCTGTTTCATTTTCGATACGAAAATAGCTGGTATTGGGCGCGGATTGCCGTGTCGTGGATACTACACCAAGCCGCGCAGATGAAGCCCGGATGACAATACCGACATGCCCGACAGTCGTAGGTCCCAGTCTCCCCCGTTCGCGGTCATTCACCGACGGGCGTAATGGGGCCGAACGCGCACGAGAATTCGGGACTAGGGTCGGTTTGCCAAGCTCGAGGATCATTTGTAGTCGCTCTGGGTCCGCCGACACGTTCATGTGGAGCATGAGGCCACTCTAATGACGGTAATCTCGACTCTCGAGCGGTTGGCGTGATAGTCATCCGCCTAGACTAGCGTTTACCCAGCACGGGGAGCCCCCGGATCACATCCCAAGGGGGCTCAATTATTGACATCTGTCCGTGACTGTACACTACGGACACAGGCTATGGACACCCGCAAGGTTACTATGCGTTCGAGGTGTTTACTCCCGAGCCTGTTCGGGAGTAAGATCGAGGTTGCAGAAGGCTGCAACAGCGTAACCTGGAGGTTGGATCCAGAAACCAGGGACCAATCATTGCACATCCCAAGTGTTGCAGCCAGCCAGTCAGGCACCTTTGGTAACCGTGCTGGAGCCCGGACGAGCAGGTTTACGGATACTTGCCATCGCCAACCCCCACCGATAGGTACTGGACCCCTTCGTAACCCCAACCCTTCTTCGCTCAAATCCACGGGGATTTGGATCTCTTGATCTTTGGTCACGCTTTTTTTTTTTTTGAGCCATTACGAACAGGGTCTGCCCATCCGACCGTCAACCTCGGGCCTGTCTAATCATGGCCGAGTCTCTTGCGGAATTCCAGGCATGACGGATAATCCACGGGCGTCAGGAAGGGGTAACTTTCGGCTAGCCTGGGGAAGAAGGGCACTGTTCAGAAGAGTGAGCTCGTCTCTGCTCTCGTCTTACTGGTTGCAGTGAACTGATAACCCATGAACGTACCTAGCAAAGACCAGAAATTCGACTATCCCAAAATGGGTACGACGTTGTTCATATCCTCCCTCAGCTCTCATTCGATATTTTGCCGCACATCGACTCCCAAGGCAGGCGACTTACGAAAGATGACATCAGATTCTCTAGGTGGTGCCCCTGGTCTTCTTTTTATCATCCGTACAGATGCGGGCACATTCAGCGCATGAATGATGGATGCTGTCCCCCCTCATGCCACAAAAGCCGCTTCATTCCCTGCTCACGGCTCTCTCGCCCCGTCTTCCACTCCTGGCCTTTCCTTGTAAGCCATGTGCCTCACAGGGCAGGGTGTCGAGTTGTTACTCCAGTCTCTAGAAAGGGGGTTCAGTAGAGAGCAGATTGAGTTATATGGGAAGGCCAGTCGGGGTGTGGAGGAAGAGCGAAGTATTACCTACACTATGACCACAGTAAGTACTACGACGTTGGGTACTTGGCGAAGCTGAGGTTGCAATAGGTACCAACTTTTGGCCCTTGCGAGAGTTTCGGGTAGCGAATTGAACCGCTCACTCCACCCTGAGATTAAAATTTGGGGGCGGAGAGTCTCCGACAAGCACGAGCCAGAACCATGGATGAACGTCTTCGGTGAACCCGGCAAGGATTTCGGACGAGAGAGCTTGCCTCGGGACCGAAGGTTCAGTTTGTAAGGATGATGTCTCTGGGGATGACGGGACAAGGTATGACAGTCTCGACTCTCCCCATTAGAAGTGGCAATAAGGAGACCGGACGGCGTGTTGAGCATTGACTACCTAAGGTAAGGTAGGTTGAGATTGCCTTCACTGCTGATACAGTACCTACAGTCAGTCGTCACTCCCAGGTCTGCACGCCCAGCAAGGGTAGTGTAACATCCAGTATCCGTACCTCGCGGAATCTACGCAATATGTCAACCGGGAGGAAAGAAGGTAACGTAGCCATACACGGAATATCTACGTACCCAGCCAGGAGTGAGGTGTGTCCATACCTACCTTACCTTACGGACCTTAGGTACTACCTCAAGGTACAGGACAGAGCAAGGTAAGGTACCCACCGTTGTGGTCTTGCACTGCACTTTCTTCACCTCCTCTGTCCGCAGCATCCCCTGCACCCTGCCACGCCTGCCCTCCTCGTCTGTTGGGTGAAGGCTGACAGACGGCGGGGGCGCCCCTCTAAAAGTCCGGGCGGTCCAGTAAGATGCCTCCCTCACCTTTGCAGTGTCGCTCTCAACGCTCACAACTTGCCAGGCCAGCCCTTTCTGATCCATCACCAGGTCGTCGACACCAACCGGGTGGCACCCACGTCGTCTTCCCTCGCACTGCATCTGCATTGCATGGCTCCTCAATCCCACGTTGATCTCGGACTGGGCTGCGTTTCTTCCTTCGCAATTCTCGGACTCGGAGGATGACACGCCCTTGACGCAGCATCACTTGGTCCTGTGCCTCATCCTCCCGCGGAAGACCTCGGAGAGGCGCGTGGGCGTCGCGCAGCCATCGACGGGACACCCTCAAAGCCAAAGGAGCAAGCGACGGTATCGTCGTCGTCATCGTCTAGTCGTAGTGATACAGAAAAATTCGAACTTCAACAACCATGACCACCACCACGATAGCCATGACTACCGCACAAGTCTGCGCACTACCTGCGTCAACAGCCGCGGTATGCCGCCGCCGCCTCCTCCGCCGCCGCCCGCCCGCCTGTCTATTCCTTCTTGCCCTGGCGGGCCGTTCCAAGCCCCAAATTCTCAGAAGCAAGAACTCATCTCAGCTCAAACGAGATTTGTGCATCTCCTATTCGACCTTATTTTGATGCCTAAAGGCAGGCTTGTCGCGATCAACCCTCCAACCCCGACCTCTTTCCATAATCAGATGGATTCGATAGACGTTAAACCAGACATCGTTAGGGACGCCTACAACCTACCAACGTCTTCCCTACCAGTTAGGACCCGTCCTATTTCCATCGCGGCTGTGTCGGACATGGGGGGAGGGGTGAAGGCGGAGTCAGCTACACCACACACTACACCACAGTGACTATCCATACACACCTCCAGCATTTTCCCATTCTCCAATAAGTACGTACCTCGCCTTACCTTCATTTTCGGTACGTATCTGATCCTGTTCCCCTCACCTTGCTTGTTGTTCTTTGCTCACCGTTTTGCAGCCCGCTTGGCCTAGAAGATATCATAACCCTGAGATTTGCGGAGGCTTTCCTACTCATACGAATTCTGGCCTGCCACTCCTGGCCTAGAGTCTAGACGGCTGAATACGGATGCGCCGGTCGAGCCAGACAACTCTAAGCAGCTCATCTGCAAAAAAAAAAAACTTCGTTGCCTTGACTGAACCCGGCTTGTCTGGGTCGTCTGCGACGGCGATCGCTGCCCGCTCTCCCTTGTGAGCCCTGGGAGCCCGGGTCCCAGGTTCCTAGTCCCCCAACCAGGTCCGTTGTGACGGGAGGCGGGTCTTCAATTGCCCGCCGGGACCAGTTACACTAGACAGAAGAGGCTTGGGTTGAGTCGACTGGCCCCTCTTGCGTTTCCTTGTCCGATGGCAGCATGCAAGTCGGTCAGCCTGATTCGGCCAACTGCATACTCTTCCAAGTATTCATTGCATGTGTCGCTCAACTCTGGATGGTCTACCGACTAGCGTTTTTGTCTCGGCTTTGGTCCGATGGACGTCAAATCAGCATTTCTCGCGAACAAGAAATGACTGCAAACTTTGCTGTCCTGGTACCGGGCGATGTCGAATGGGTGAGGGAGAATTCGAGAAGAAGGCAATCGCATCCGCGGCCAGTATGGATGTCTAATACCTGCCTTGTCCGCCTGTACGGTGCCGATCCTACGCCAGTCGACCCGTAAACTTGGTAAAGCATCTTTCGACTCCACGGCTTCTCAACGTTGCACGGCAGCCACTTGCTCGCAGCGGCTCTGCTAGCCATCCCGGTTCTAACACTACGACTCACAAATGGAGACGCTTTGGGGCGATCCCCAGTCAACAATGGCATCATATATTGATCCTCAAAGTGCGCCAAAGCGCCCCCCCCTTCCCAAAGTTGGCTGCGCGCCGTCTCGGTCCGGCACCGGCGTGAAGAGGGGACCTCCATCCACCACCAAGAATCCCCATATTTTTCTTGATATCATCCGATGGTCCTCCATGTCGGCGAGCGATAGTAAGCAAGCGAGATGGGATGCTGGGCGCGCCGCGTACCAGTCTACCAGATCACAGATGCCATTCTCTCACACCTCCCCGTCCGAAGTACACGTGGACGATAGATTGCTTCCGCCGGTGGCCTGGAAATCCAGCCCCACGATCCGTGAGTTCCACGGCTGGGAACCGGGGGAGCCCACCGGGTGTTCGAGTCTCCGCCGGGCCCTTGCAAAAGTCGGATAAAGCACGACGGTCTCCTCTCCAACTCCGCTCGACTGATCTTGACATCACTAGGAAGCCCCCGGCTCATAGCTCACTTGGCGCTGGCGCTTATGCATCAGCGTCTCCCCTATGGACGGAGAGCGACTCCGAAAGCTAGGACCTTTCCTCTCCTCCCGTGGCCCTCGCTGGAAACGTCGTCGCGCCCCCCTCCTTCATCCATCCAAACCTTGGTCCATCCGACGTCTAACCCTCCACAATCCGTCGTATCTCCATTTCTGACGAATTGACAAAAGATCCAACGACATCGGATGTAAAGCAACGTAAGGTAATGTACTCATATTTCCTGCTTGGTTGTCCCCATTTTCCCTCACGGAGTACCGCATTCCAAATCCAACTAGCCTACCAGACTATGCCGCATGATCGGGAGGAGCTCCATTGTCATCTCGTAAACCCCTTCCCAGCGAAAATGCTTATTGTTCCCTCCTTTGTATGTTTGGGAGAGAGAAGGGCAGGTCCCTGTTCGTCTTCCCAACCTCGTTTTCACTCTTCTTACTTGGCCTCCGCGGCCGCCTTGACAAGGGACCCAGCGTCACGGCGTCGTTTGGCGGCCGCCAACAACAATTGTTCCTTGGGCCCGCCCCTCTTCGAAGTTCCCATTGTTTTGGATAGTAGCCATTTCTCCCTCCCCGCTCTCGCTCGCTCACTCATAAGATTCAAGGGCCCTAGCTTGGATAGCTTGGTCGTTTCCACGGTCGGTGGTAACAAATGCCCGAAACAGAGAAAGGGGTGGGGTGGGCGTGAGGGAACTTGAGAGACATTGCGGGCTGCCGGTTGCGGGCGACTCACCCAATTTCGAGATTGCCAGGGGTTCAAGCGAAAAAGTGCCGGGGTTGCAGAGGCCTTTTCTTTTTTTCCCTTCTCCCGCTTCACCACTTCCGCCAGGCCCCCCTTCCCCCTGGTAATGTCTTTCACATGTAGACTAACGACAAGGCGGATATGAGAGCGAGAGAGCGAAAGAGCGAAAGTGAAAAAACAAAAAATTGATTTTTCGATATGACGTGCGTTCAAGGATGCTTGTAATTTATCCTTCAAGGCAACAAGATTTGTTTTCTCACGCCTAAAATGTTCGGATGCCATGTCCGCTAGGTAAGTCTGCGCGCACTGCTGTTACTTGTTACTAGTCAAAAATAACCACGAAGGGAAAACCAAAAAAAAAAAAAAAGGGTTTCTCCACGGAAGCCGGGTGCCATGTCCGTCTTACAGATGAGTTGTAAGACGAGACGAGATGAGACGATGTTGGTAAGACGGACAATGGTGATTTCTAATTTTGACGGACTGCATCTACTTTGATTTTCAACGTAAGTTGCTGCATGTCCCTAATTTTGACGCTGATGCACTGAGAGAGAACGGGATTGGAACGTGTATGTAGAAAGATGCGTTCTTTTTGACGCTAGTGAAAGGGTATATTTCAAGTTTCTATCGATATCGATATCGAAAAGTTGAGTAGAAGAAGATGTGCCACCTGGACGATTTTGATCGTCTTGTGCCGTTGGTGCTGTTCCTGCCGCTGCTTCCCCCATAGACAAAAGCCTTCCAAAATTGTCGTGAGAACGAAGAAAGATGACGAAGCGAAAACAAACCGAAAAAACACCTCCCCGGTAGGAAAACCCAAATAACCCAAATGAAAGAACCAAGAAACAAAAAAATGAACTCCCAAAAAAGTGTGCCAATGACAAGCTCGTTGGACAACTTCTACCTATGTGACTCCTCCCTCCTTTCCAGCGATATTTTTGTAACCCTCCTCGGCTTCTCTCGTTTCCTGTTTAAGTAAATGCTCGAATGCCCCAAACATGTACAGTTCGAATGGTAAAACGGATCTGGTATTTTCCCCCCTCCATCCGCAAATAGCACGGCCGTAAGGTCCTTGCATGGCTTGCGTATGTGTGTGTGTGTGTGTGTTGGAAAAAGGGACTTTTGTTGTTATTGTTGCTGGTTTTCTCTCCCCCGTTCGCGTGCTGTTGGTTCCAACGGCCAACAGCACTCACGTGTTTCGGCGCTGCTTGCACTTGTCGTGGAGAAGGTGGCCGTTCCTTGCCGTCGTCCTTGTGAATTCGGCGCCGCAATTAGGGCATGTGGCCTTGGTCGCCTGCCCAGACTTTTCTCTTTGGTGCCTCAGGAGGTTGCTAAAGGTTGAAAATTGTCTTCCGTTGCAGCCGTGTTCCCAGCATTGAGGTTTAGGCCGGCTCTGCACCACTCTGACGTGCCCCCCTTGGTCTGGGGCTCCGGGGCCCATCGATGGCGGCACGCCATACATCAGGCTCGGGTCTTGTCCAACAGGCATCGAGTGTCGGCTTCTGCGTTGGTTCTTGTTAGTTTCGAAGCGTCTTTCCTGGGCCATCCCCATCTCTCTCGTAACATACCCGTATTGTGCTGGCGGTTGGAACTGGTTGGAGTAGTCCATGCCACCCATGCCGTAGGCCTGGGCCATTGGTGGGTATCCGCTCTGGTAGCCATGGTCTGACAGAGGCGGGCTGTAAGAGGGGAGGTATGATGACGATCCCATTGAAGTTGCCGGCTCTGCGAGAAGGGAGATTGGCGCCGGTGCTGTCGTGTACACGGGTACGCCCATTGTTGAAGAGACGTCGGGTAGGCTGAGGGGAGGCGAATGGATGTAGGGGTTGCTACCAGCTCTGTGGACGCGTTGTGATGCCTTTGAGTCTCGACGAGCCATGTCTCTCTGCTTCTTCAATTCCCTCTGCTCTGGTGTCAAAGTCCCCCGTGGCGGGCTTGCTGTTACTGATCTGGAACCGCTGGGTGGTGTGAGGCTGGCGTCTTGGTGATGGTGTCCGAGGGAAGAGAGGTTGTGGCCAAGTAATGATCCGCTTGCTTCGGGGTTGTCGAGACCTTCAAGTTGAGATTGTTAGAGAATCCCAGAAGGGTACAAGAGGGGAGTTGAAATGGACGGTTAATTACCAGGCCAAGTGAATGCTGATCGGCTTCCCATGGTGAACGAAGGGTCAAATGGAATAGCAACAGTGCTGAAGAAGGAGGAAGTGTTAGATGGTCTTTATAGTCTAGTGGCTGGTACAATGTTGGAAGCGCACCTCATGCTTGCTCCAGTTCTCAGTGGCGGAGAGGACTGGTTGGAAGAGTAGTCCTGGGCGGGGTCCACTCTGACTAGAGGGGTCGAATCCGAAGTGTGATGTACCTCGTGTTCGTTCCACTCTGCTGCGTTCAAGATCTCAGGAGGTAGGAGGGGAAAGGGCGAGTATCCTTGTGAGTTGGAGGTTGAGAGAAAGGTTGCGGAGTTGGGCGGGTTGGGACTGATATAACCGGAGGAATGGAGAGCCTCAGATCTGACCGAGGGGCTGGACTCTAACGGTAGCGTTCTGGGGGAATCGACTAGTTGGATGTTGGCGAATTGAGCAGCTGTAGCTGATACACGGCTCCCTGCTCTAGATCTGGGTGGAAGTGAGTAAGAGTCCTCGCAACCCTGCTCAGAAAAACTGGAAGCCATTGAAAAAGAAGAAGGACGACGATGAAGAAACTCTGGATGGCACATACGGGCGAAGTTGTTGAAGAGTTGATGTCGAGATGTACTTGTGTAAGAGTATACCTTTTGCTGTGTATGTCCAAGCGTTGTTACCAGTTGATGAGTTGTATCAAGCCAGTGACGATGTTTGATACTCGAAGACCCGGATCGACGACTTATAACGAGACCAGGACGATCAGGCAACGATTTTGAGGTCTGGAGAAGGAAGGATTGCTTGCTCGCCAGGTGGAGGCTTTTGGTTCAACGAGATCACAGATGCTAAACTTGGATATCACCAGAAGGTTAAAGATCTCAGCCTCACAGGCCTAGGAGCGGGCACTGGCTTATAAATGGCAAGCGGGCAGTGAAAAGCTGTGGAGATGGTAGCCCAGATCCCGACCTCTGGACGTACCTTTTTCATCGCATGAGAGGAGAGAAGACACAAGAGACGGACATGTTCAAAGAGACAAGCTACACTACATGGAGGTAAGTCCAGACGGCGGGCAGGGGTTCAGGGTAAGAAAGATGGGATTGAGTGACCAGGCCAGGATGGAGAACAGAGTAAGGTACCAGCGCCCATTGTGTGTAAACTGTTATGTTATGGAGGGTGTGGGGGTGTGATCGCAACACACCAGAAGGGTGTGGAGAATAAGGGGGCGTGTATAAGATGGGGAACGAGGGCAGACTTTTGCTTGGGAGCGGAGGGGAGGGGGTGTAAACGGAGGCGAGGGCGGGCGAGAGAGTTCCTAGCGCATGGTGTAAGAGCGAAAGCGCGCGCAGAGCGGAGGCACGCTGCTAGAGGCGTGTGAGCGAGTGAGAGTGACATGCAATACAGAATTAATGAGACCTTGGGGGGAGTGAGAATGAGAGCGAGAGTAAGAGTGAGTGAGGGTTGCGGAGCGTGCTGAGGTATCCGTACACAGTCGAGGGGGATGATGGGCAGACGGGCACAGTTGATGAGTGAAGAAAGACATGGGGCTATGGAGGGGACGGGGAAGGGATCGATAGGCTCCAGCATTTCCGGCAAAAGCATTGGCAGCCGTAACGAAACGCCCTGGTCAACGTCCCTGCTTCAAGCTTGAGACGGGCTGCAGGGCTAAGGCTAGTGCGCACTAAAGCACTGCTAGGTGAAAGAGGTGTGGAAAGTAGAGGATGGATCATGGATGACATCGCTCGAGCCCTGGCTGCCCGTCAGAGACCGGCCCTTGGGTTCTGGGTTTCTGGGTTTCTGGGTTTCTGGGTCAGCTACCTTACACAGTAAGGTAGTACTAGGTATCTGTGCTGGTGCTGGGCCTCGGGGAAGGGCTCAGGGAAGAAGACGACGGCCCACGGATGTTGGTGACGGGGAAGGGGAGCCCTTGACTTGAACCCGTCCCAGCCGGTCTATGATCGGGAAAGAGTGGGTAATGGGACTTCAATTGACCTTATTCCCTATTGAGGCAGCAGTTTCGACGTTAACGGGGAACCAGGGGCCGTAATTGTATGTCTGAGTACCCTGAGTTGAGGGCATTCGATCATCGATTCGACGAGGTGATATTCCAGCAAGCTAGGACTGAGGAACCGCTGCGCGCGCAAGAGAACACCTAGGAAAGATGAAATGATGGGTTAGTAGGATGCCGGGCCTAGCAGCCAGTGTGTGCGTGTGTGTGTGTGTGTCGAGGAAGCCTGTGTATGGTTGAATGTGAGTGCGCGTGTGTGTGTGTGGCATCCTGTATCCATGCCCTCTTGAGGTTGTCTAAGTTGCAGTAGGTGACTGACCACTGGGCCCCAGGAAATGGCAGTGTTGGGCCGGGAGCCAGTACGTCGGGACGGCGGTTTTGCGTAGCAAACCTAGCCCGGCACTGGACAGGCAGAGCAAGAACTTGATGTTGGTCCGATGGGCTGTGACGCTACAGGATATGTATGAAGCGATTACTTCTCATTTTTTTTTATGTGCTCAATTCGTCTGTTTTCTTGGCAGCATCGACAGCAAACCAGATAGCGGGTAAGCAGCGGTATCGAATTCCCAAGTCCAATTGGAAGACTGAGGTACTTCGATAGAAGGAAACCGTTTGAAGAAAAAGCCGGACACTAGATGCTCTCAACGGGCGGGTTGGGTAGTGCCCACAACGATGGGCGACTCAAATTGGGAACGAAGGAAGCGGAAGCGGAAGCCAATCCATACCGCTGCATTGCAGAATAACAAGATGCCCGGATAGGTTAGGTGAAGACGAGAGATTGACACGGGAGGACGGTTTAGAACGGGCCAGGTGTTGACCGTCTCCGCCGAAGTGCAGGCGGCGTTCAGCAGAGAGATTGTGCGAACAGGACGTATTCGCGAAACGGAAGACGGATAGGAGAGGGGACCCAGGGGAGAACGTAAGAGTCCAGGTGCGACAAATGGCGAGGGAATGACAAGTCCCTTGGATTCCCCCAAGAGTTTGAAAATAAAGGATCGGGATCCTTGTCGCTGCTTTGTCCGCATGTGGCCCAGTCTTGGATATGGTGGAGAGAATGTGAGCAGGTTGGGTGAGACGATAATTGGAGAAGAAGGGGAGCAAGAAAAAAAAAAGGCCTTGGAGATTGGAGCTGTCGTTCGTCGTTCAGGACGGGAGTGGGGATGCACGGTGTGTGGTCGGGAAAGCGCCAGGCAGGGTACGTACTGTCTGGGTCATGGAAATCTAATCTTATTCGGGTCTAGAAGAGCGCCTCATGGGGAACCGGGGCAGAAAGAGTAGATACGTATCCAGAGATTCTGTAAGGCAGGTAGCTACCTAGATATCCGTACCTACCTGGATGTTCCTACGGACGGTACGGCACAGTAAGGCGAGGCAAGGTAAGGCAGGTGCCGCCTTGGGAACGAGCAAGGAAAATCACGATTGCTGTTTCCTTCAGCATCTTCTTCAAGGCGTTTCCCTCAGGGTACCTCACGGATACGGGCTCCGTTCTTGCATACTTATTGCGTCTAAAGTAATGGGAGTCCAGTCTACCTTACCCTGCCTGCCATTCCTTCCATTTATGCCGACGGGAGATATGGCGGTGACTCGACGTTATCCCGTGTCCACAATCTCTACCTTACTTCTCGTTCCATCCGTACGGAGTGTCCGTATGTCACCGAGATAACCAATCCCGGGCGAGCGTAAAACACGACAAACGAAGGCAATACCCTACGGATGTACGTCAGGTATGGGGTCGTCGACAGACCCCGCCGCGCATCGGCTTTGTGTCGTCTCTCATTGCTCCGAGTCCGTATCCGGGGCAAGACATGGAAGTGGGTGTGCGGACGAGGATGAGCACTAGAATTCCGTACATCTGACCTTACCTTACCTCATTACGCACATTGGGGCAATGTACATTCGGATGACGGATTACCAATACCTTAGTTTAGGACAACAACCACCCCGACCGGCACCGCAGCGGCAAATGGGACCTGCAATGGCTCGATTTAGAAGGTTAGACGAGCGTGTGAGATGTCTGCGCCAGGGTAGCCGCAGTGGGTGCGCTACGTGCGCTAGGCGTTTTGCTGTCCAATGTCAAAGTCCCAACTTCCATACCTCTAAGACGTGGGTGGGTGTCTTGGGTGTGTCAATAATTGGCTTTGGCTTTGTTTTTCGTCTGCTTGCTCCCAGGTCTTTTCTATTTCCCGGCCTCCTTCTAATCATTTGTTCGTCTTTCCAAATTTGGGTCAACTTTCTTTTCTCCTTGAGGGTTTTTTTTCCGGAGCAGCGAGACGTCGGACGACCAAGGTTCCTCGGCCATGACAGAAGTTGGGTCGTTTAAAGGCGACGGATGCCTACCTCCCCATGTTGTTAACCTAAAAGGTAGAGTAACAAATGGAAGGCATGGATCTGGGAAGCTCTCCCGCGCGGGACAGCCAAATAGCGTCCGTAAGGCGTCAGCATGGGAAAAACAACCTAAGCCAATGGCCTTTTCCCACACTGACCTGTACGCCACATTGTAAATACCCGTAAGATGCTGGACATGCCTATCCTTGACTTTTCTAAGGTGATGAGGTGAGGAACTCGGGCGTCTCGGCTTATTTGACCAATCTCGTGTCTGAGTCTGACCCGTCATCACCTACTAGGTACGGATATACCATCTATCCGTAGTCTGCCTCCCACGGGTGCAACTTGCCCCAAATTTCTTTCAGAGACATCCAGTCAGACGATCAACGAGTTTCCTTTTTGCTTTTCTAAGTCTTACAGGCAGGTTCTGCTCCCGTGTTCGTTACTGTTGTTGTTATCGTGGCCGAGTTGGGCTGAATTATTCGAGACCACCTATCAAGCAATTCAGCTTGACGCAACTGACAAAAGTTCGTACCGTTCTGACAAAGTTTTCTGCAATGACCCCGTTGATGTTTCTACGGATACCTAACCATCATCTTACCCTGTGGACACCTTTCATCATTGTTCACCCCGTAGGGATACATCGTTTCGTTCATGGATGTCGGGTGAAGGTCAACCCCAGCTTGCTGCCATGCCAAGCAGTGAACCGTGCTTGCTCGATGTGATTAAAGTCAGCTTCTGATCGACAGACCGTGCTGCTTGGGGTCAACCCTGAAGTGGATCTGTGAGTACTTAGTGACTTTGCCTACCTACCTTACCTTAGTGTACTAACGCAGTACGTTGTGCGGTTCCTCATCGGGCTTACCTAATGCAGCCGACCTCGGTATACTTCGGAGACGTACTCCGTAGAACACACCTTGTTGGCCTGAGGTGAGCAGTGACAACCTCCGACTCGCGAGGCCCAGTGGAAGTTAGACAAGTTGGAAATTGCCTGCCGGCGCCGCTCCGCTGGTCATCACTTGGTGTTCACCTCAGGACCGGGATGTTGCGCACAGATTACACTTACGGACGCAAACCCACCTCTCAAGCGATGCAGCTGTGTTTGGCAAAGCTCCTTCACTCACTTCATCACGGGCACTGACAGTCTTCAACCCCCATCTCCCTTCTAATTTCTCTCCCGCCGGCAGAACACACCCTTGGTGGCTACTGCCAGACGCCGGCTGGCTTTGACCTCGTCCGGTCCCGAGATCTTGGTGCGGATGGGCGAGGCCAGGCCAGACCAGGTATCTTAGGCAGTCGTTAAAATCCAGAGCAGCAAGGGCAGGCCCGGTAACGTCAACGGCTTACCTTACCTTACCTTACCGTGCACCCCTCCCCCATCAACGTTGGCATGGACGGATAAGGTACGAAGTACTCCGTACTTACCTCCAGTCGTCCTTACCACTCACCCACTCTTGCTACTGATGGAAGTGTCTATACGAAAACAGATACAGCTGCATCTTTCCCACTGGGCTTCATACGGATATTCGCACAGAGAAAGCACGACCGGCCATCCAAGCCATGCCATGCCATCCAAACACTTCACTCAGCCATCGGCAACCTGAGCAAGGGAAGAAAGTCCTAGGTAGACATTGGCAAACGGTTTTCCAAGGTGTGCCTTCACCGCAATACCAGTACCCGTACGGATACAGATGTCTCCGCTGCACTGCCATCGCGACGACAAGGCTCTGTCCCCATCACATCGCCACTATTCTCGCATGTTTGCTTCGCCGTTAGGCAGACTCTTCTACCAGTCCTTGGCTGCGCTTCATCCTTCTGCACCTCGTCAAGCCTGTCAGTCCAGCTCGGCTGTCCACGCAGTAGTAGACTATCTCGCCTTCTCGGCCTCAGCGTCCTCGGTCGCTTGCTGTCCGAATCATGGGGCGTCCCTTGAGTCTTGACCACATCTAGCTCGTTACTCTACTCAATCAGCGTCCTTCTCCCGAACCGTGACCTCGGTCACTTCCCGACGCACTAGAAGACCACACATGACGCCGTCGCCCGCACCTTGACGCCCTTTAGGGCTGGGGTGAGGAGACACTGAGCCTCAGGCCTAAGGTACTGGATCGTTGCCGCGCTACCTGCTCCTGGCATATCCAGCACAGTTTCGAAGCTCACTAAACTAAATCACGGATAGGGCTCGCGCGGGAACTCGGGGCGTGGCTTGGTCTCTCAGTTTTACAGCGCCCTCATCGTTCTCTCTCGCGGGCGTTCATCAGATGCGCTGTCGCTCTCCACAAGCTTCTACCGCTCAACAGCCAACAAAAGTCCCCCCTCGAAGGTACGCCATGTCATCATCTCCAACGTGTGGGGGAAGAAAGAGCCTTCAAGTAACAATTGGCTTCGGCCCAGTCTCGTTGAGTGACAGGACGATGCACATCATTGCCAGTCAAGGGTGTTGCTGGCCGTCAGCAGACAGCACATCTACAGCGGTACAACTCAACCGCCGTAACAAAGGAACCTCGCATTGCACGGCTACCTCTCCGATTCGGCTCTACCGGTAGAGTTCTAAAAGCACCAATTCAGTCCCACCACCAACATGATTGTAGCTACCATAGTCGCGTACATACCTACTACGAGCTGCTGCCCGCCCCTCTGGAACATCACACCCACGAGTCTGGACGCCACCTCACTTGAGCAAACGTTGACTGTCACCATTGGTGGCGTTCCACTTGTGGCAAGCCCACGCTGCTCATCGCTGTTTCAAGTCACTTCAGTGGCCATCCGTGGCCTTGCACCAACGCCTCCATGTTGCGGCTGGTTTCCGTGGTGGTCGAACTGCATCTGACGCCCGGCAGCATCTCAGGCCGTGAGTCGGCGTCCTGAAGGTGCTGCATATTCTAAATTAGACGGAGAAACCTAGGGCCAGCTGGTCCAAGGTGCATTTTGTTGCTGCCTTGAGACGCAAAACGCGATCGTCGCTCTTAGGCCGCTTCAAGCTGGAGCCCCAGAGCTACAGCTTCGGACGAGATGGTGCAGCCCCATTGAGGCCCGGGCTTGTGGACTGCACCAACGCCAGTCGCCCTAATCACATCAGCAACGGGCTCAGGCCGTGAGATGAGCCACACATTTCAAGCGGAGGTCTTCCGACTGACACATTAGACGGCCACTGAGGGCTTGAGTAATACAGCAAGCGCCCCATAATCCGCCGTCCGTCATCGACACTACCGGGAAAGTCCCTGCCACTACGATATTAATCCCACAAGGCTTAAACTTTGGGTTGGGTCGGGTTGGCACCGATGACCATGTTGTTTTCACCAACTCTAGCTTCTTTCTTGGCCATACAGTACCTATCATATCCGAAGCATCTTTACGGATACTGGGATTATGATTTCCCGACTTTTGGGTCATAAACGCTTTCAGACATTCCGGCACATATTACACTTTGCCTAGCGAAAACATCCGATGGCGTTGATGGCCAGCGTTTATTCGAGCCAATTATCTCTGGCTCACCTGTTCACGCCATGTAGCCTGGTCCATGGCGCGCATGTACGTTCAAAGCAATGGACAGCATTCAAGCCACGAGATCGATCCTCAGGTGGCCCGTTAATTTGCCGCAAAAAAACAACAAAAAAACGCACCTGGACACCATGTGATGACCGCAGAAGTTGAGAAAAAAAAATCGAACCGAGAGAGAAGAGAGAGTGCCTCAGCGTGAAGCCGTGGGGTTCTGATACCAGTCAGATGTTATCATCCCCGATGAGCTGCGAATTCATTGGCTTGGGTCCGATGACATTCACCCCTTCAAAATCGAGCCTCTGCCAGATGCAAACGCAACAAGCACTTTTTTTTAAGGAAACGTCTCTTTACTCGTGCGACCCATGTGTGTGAGAGGGGAATAGGTCCAAATACGACGCTTTGAGTTCTTACCACTTTCACGGTCATCGCGGATCGTTGCGCTTTCGTCAATAGGCTGCGTCCTAAAGCATCCTTGATTATGTGAGACGTACGCATACGCATGGAAGACGCAAGAAGCGGGAAAGATCGAAGATTACGGTCGAAAACTCGTTGGCCAGATTTACGAATTGCCAGACTAGGAAAGACTGCGAAACTTTGGACAAATCTCAAGGTTTGACACAAGAACGGGTCGATGAAGACAAGCTGCAGTGTCACGCTTCAATCCGGCCCCGGATCCATTGCATTTTTGCCCACGCCCCAAGTTGTCATCAGCGTGGACTCGTAGAAGGCTGGGGAGCACCTGCCACCTTCGATGGGAGACATCATCAACTTAATCGTTGTGGTGAGCGTTGTGAACCTCGGCCTCACCGCTGCTCCCAAAGCCTGAGTTCTGGCCGTTGACGATTGAATCCTGGTTTTCATCATCACCTTGCTATCCGAACGTCAACTCCAAATCCTACGGAGCCACATTGAGCTAGGTTGTAATGACCACTCCGTACCCGACCCGGACTGGCTGCGTCCGTACGGATAACCCGAATCACCGCAAATACACAGCAGAAGCTTGCTTCCCAAAGGAGTGAAGATGCGAGTGCTGTTGACACCCTGAACGGACCCTTGAAGTGTGTACGGAGTAGAGGAACAACTGCCACGTTGACGACTACCCATCGAAATGGAGACCGGACGGCCAGGGTTGCCAGGCACTCTGAACTCTGAACAGCCCACTGCTCATGCGGCATGCCACGGCCTCGGACGAGTGAGCTCCAAAGTCTCGGGACTCGCCCCCAAGCTCCGACAGTATGGATGGGCAGCGTGATGGGGCCCCTTGGGACCCCTTGAAAGCAATGAACACAATGCACCGGCCAAGCATTTGATTTATCGTAAACGACTCAATAAGGAAAAGGCCGAGGTTGCGAAGTCGTAAAACCAAACGTTGTCGAAAGCACTCGGCACACGAGGTTAGGTTGTACCGTTGCACCAACGACGCTGCCACCCACGGACATTCATCAAATGAAAACCTCCATAGGAAGACGTCCTGCTTACCATTGTGTTTCATATTACGGGCCCTAGAAATTTCACCATAGACATTTCAGAAGTGTCTTGCATCTTCCCATCTCGCCCTTTACAGCTCAAGCGGCTGTAGCCCACCGGGCTAGGGGTGTTCCGTGGACTCCTCATATTCCCCGTCGTTCTGCAGCACGCTGCACACGGCATACAACACTGCCCTGTGAACAAGAAACCCGCATGCGTGCAGTGGGCACCGCAGAATCCCACTTTGCTTGAGATTCTCTCCGCTCTCCCACATATAACTGCGGTCTTGAGCTGCAAAGAGATGGAAATGGCGTCTGTCTGCTACGTTAAAATTGTTAGCGTCACCGACTCTTCAGTGTTTTGCATTTCCCATACTCCGCGTGGGATCATATCATTCTTTTCTCCTGATGATTTGCCAGAAACACCGTGCTTCACCAAGGGGCCCGAATCTATGATGCTACCAGGTCTACCAAATCCCGGCCAAGGGACACAGTTTGCTGAAAGGAAATCTCACTGTTAGTCTGATCGACTTTGCGGAATCCTTGGCCGATGGGGGAGGACTGTGCCTCTTACCCCGGATTCACCCCGACCTAGTCAAAGTCGCCGAGAGGCTGTCGAAGTCTCCGACTTCGCAAAGGCTCGAACAAGCTCTGATGTCCTGAAGGCTCACATTGAACCTAAGAAGCGGGCGTTGACTTGAAGAGCCAAGAGACAGGTTTTAGGCCACGCATCATCAACAATGCCTAGCTCTTCTAACCCTCGCCTGACCTCCGGAAGTTTCGCGGCGGCACAGACAGCATAGACCAGGTTGCGGGCGCTCGTCGTTGTATGTCAGCAGATTATAAATGCGATAGTTGGGAGCGCCTTCCCTCAGACCATGGCGTCTCTAGGTCGAACGCCGCCAAAATCGTCGCGGCTTCACAGACCTCACAGACTGGCGGGGAACAGCCAGGTCTTCTTGGGTACGCAGAGTACCCGATGTTCTCTGGCCCTGTAGGGCAGAGCGATTTAGGGCTGCCTGTACGAGACGCATAGGTCACACCACACGGCGGAATGCATACTCATGTTGGGAAAAGGGTTGAACTGCCTCTTCTGGTTTGCTCTCCGTGTTCACGAGCGTAGCCAGAAAAGCCGCGTATACTGCCTGCCGATTCGTCGACAAGATATGCAGAGGGGCGGCACGGCTCTGCTCTAGATACGTCGACGTCATCCATGAATGAATCCCCTCAAATTCTACGCTGTCACCGTCACGAATAATCGCTCTTTCACCCAAACCACTTCCCTACGACAAATGTTTTGGTAGAGGGAAATCCGCAATGAGACCAATTTCGAGTACCGCGCCTACGACGTCATGGTCTGTTCGCGGGCCAGCTGGTGCCGTGGCTAGCCAGACGGATGGGACCTTTGTACGTGGACGTACTGATACGCCCTCAACGCGTATTTTACGTTTACACCTTTGGCCGACGGAACCCTTCTCCGTACACTCGTACATACCGGCCATTAGACACACTCAGAATCCTTCCGCTGCCGGCCCCAAGTGTTCCTCCCAGCCCTACGAGGGACCGACCGCTCTCCATCTGCGTCTTGGTTTGCTCCAAAGTCTGACATGCAGCGTCAGGTTCCAAAACAGCACACGCTCGCCCGTACACTCTCAAACGGAAAGCCTGCGTCTTGCAGCACACCCCTTGTCAAAAGATGAGCTGAAGCACTGGATTCAAGTTGACATATGGCCGTCATCTGCACGCTCGACGTGGCCCAGCACTGTTACATCCAGTTGCCCTGTGGACTTGAGATGCTGCGGCTGTGCCGCAAACGAGTAGACAGACACACCACAGTATCCACGATCGTTGGCCAGACCCTGGCTCCTTCTTTATTATGGGGACTTTAACGTATTGCTATTGTACGGATATTCAAGTCCACTCTGCTTACGACTTGTTTGGCACTTTGGTATGGCGGGACCTGATATATCAACCCGAACCTGCCAATCGCCTTCACCCAAACCCCCGCAAAAGTGCGAAGAAAACATCGTTACAATCTGGCCTGGCCTGCGTGGCTTCTGGTCGTGAAATGTAACGGTGCGATCCATCCCGAACGCCTTTAATCAGGTTCATGCGAGCATGGATGATTTGGCTCATCGGGAGGATTCAACGTCTCGCACCAAGCGCCCTACGAGGGGCATGACCAAGAGGTGCCAGAGACACGCCCCCCTCCTGATGTCGAGAGATCGATCAACTTGGCGGCGCACCACCCGCTTGCAATGGCGCACTTAGCACATATTCTTGTTGCGCCCTCTTCGATGCACAAAATGTGTCTGGCCAACTGTGGTGGCGGCATCTGGCCACTCATAGTCGATGCCGTCCGCCAGCGACTCGACGCAGTGCCTATGTGTGGGAACAAAGTTAGACTGGAATTGCAGTGTCAACCTTGGACAATATCGATCCACGGCATCGGTGTTCTATCATTATCTCCTGACGAATCACGGTGGTGGTCAAGTCAGACGAATGTGTCTATCGCCATAATCAACGAAAATAAGTTCGGCAAGAGCGTTACGAGCGTCAGCAATGAGCTGTCGTAGACAACAGGTCAGCGTCTTCAGACACCACGGGGCAATTTGGGCCAACGCAGCACTGCCATGCATCTTCTTGCGTTCGCGGTCGGACTTTCTAGATTAACCCCGTCGTTATGGCCGACTCGGCTCATGTACCGATGTGATTCGGAGCATTTGGTCTCGCTTCAGGTCCTCCGGACCTCGTGGACGGTTTCCCATACGGCTGTCCGGGGAATTGGTAAGGGGGGCGCACGGCTCATAGGGCTAGAGGACTGATGCATTGTGGCTGAAGGTGGTGGACGACCTGGCATGTCTCAACTTGGAAGCGGCGACGTCTGAGGGACTAGCGGCGAAAAGATCCGACCTTGAAGCTTTGCATTCGCAGTATGCGTACAATGCAGAAGCGTCTTGTTGTCGTCGTCACGGGGAGGTAAGCTGGACGGCCCCCGCCTCTGGCGGCAGTCACGATTTGGAAGCATGATGTGTATCAAAGGACACAACATGGAAGAATGTGCGCCAGCCTTCTATGTGGACCACGTCTCATCAGCTCGTCTCACGAAGGGGAATAAGTCAGCCTTGTGGTTCCTGGATATCCCTTCTCACCTCAGCCCGACTCCGAGCTGGCCAACCTCGACTGTATGATCGCACTCTGGGCCCCCGAGCGTGGCTTGAGCGGTATGCACGCGATCCTCCCAAAACTGTGGCTGGGGGTCCTGGTGGTAACGAGGCGGTGACCTGCGCAGGGAGGTTGATCCTATGGCCCTCACGGACCAACCACCGCACATCGTCCAGGCATTGAGGGGAATGACAGATTCTAGGCTCCAGAATTACCTTGTTGCTATTTTCGACGGCGGACAGCATCTCGATGGCTCGATTGTGATTTCACGGGGAGCGGGTGTGCTCCATTAGTGCCCGGGCCAGACGCTAGTTCGACGAACGAGTGCGAGTCTTCTCGGGGAAAGAGAGAGGGTGTAGACAGGAAATGGGGGGAAACAGACCAAGATGGAAGGATTCGTCGAGCTATGGGTGGCGCAAGGTACAGCGAAGCCAGCGCACAATGCCGCCATTCCGGTCGACGAGGAGGATTCATCGATCAATGTTTAATGTCCCCACGACAGCTCATGCCAGACGGACCTAGATCCGGCTTTGCAGTCTAGATGCTCACTCGTAAGAGGTTATCCTGGGGACGGGGATGGAAAAACGACGAGCCAAGCACAGTAAGTCCGCTTTGCAAACAATTTACACACGGCGAAGAAGCAGGCAAGCGAGGGAGCCGTTGGCAAGGGGTGGCCTTGCTCTGGGCCCATGTAGCTATCAAAGTCTCGACTGAAGCTCGTCCCGGTTTGGAAATGATCTCTTGACGAGTCTCGTCTCGTCTCTACTTGTGATGTTCTACGCAATGCCATTTTGAGCTACATCGTAAGCAGGACCTCTTTCATTACAATTTTAGAGATATCACAGTCTCGTTTGATATTTGAAATACTACATCCAAAGAGGGAAGTCCTGGAACCAGGATGCACATCCTCAACTACCTTGTCCGCTTCAAGAAGACTTGATAGTCCCATTCTCTCGGTGTTACTTTACCTTTGCGGAGTCCCCAAAGTAGGGCGACAGGATGTCAAGGGCTATACGGTGAGATCTCTGCCTTCCTAGTCTTCAGAGTCTACGACTGTTCAGGGCAGCCCTACAAGGAGACCATGTATTTGCCCCCCCCCCCCCCCGGTGTTATTTTCACTAGCGGGGTTCCCCACAAAGGGGGCCAAGATGTATAAGCGACTCCGGGAGAAACCCTCCCTCCCTACTCTTCCCAATCTTCCCCACTTCC